AACCCTTAGCATCTCCAGACCAGCCACCTTTTCTCCCAGCTCTTTCAACCTCTTTCCCTTAGGAAAGTAAAGATGGGAACACCTACAGCCACATCCCCCCAGACTTTGTAGCCACAGGAAACCCAGCTAGACTTCCCTGCAGGATGCTTTCAAAATACAGGAAATCCCCAGTCTTGTCCTTTGTATTCTTTTTTTCTGCCAAAAGAAAATGTCTAATGCCAAGTTTAGATTTTACTACTCTGATTGTAGTAAAATCTGAGTGAAATATATTGTGACCTCCTACACCTTAGCTGAAGGAACAGGAACCTTGAAACCTCCTACCACTGAGCCCTCCTTCCAAACTCCTGCTATCCCCCAGATGCTCATTCCACACTGGAGCTAAATATGCAGCAACAAAAACGTGCTATTAAATTTCACAAAAATACAATTAAAAACCCCCCCACAAACCTTCCTCCTACTCCTGCTAAATGCTGTTAGTGCTCTCATCCCCAGAGCCACACAAGGGGCACCAAACCTGTTGCACACACACACATCTACATAAGACACACACAGATGTACACAGTACACATTATAGATTCTGATACACAAAATGCCACTTTGCTGCACATCTGCTCAACACATCATATTTGATATTGCACACAGCTGAGGACCACAGGAAATGCAACAAACTTCACCTTAACCTCACTTCACCTTAACTCAAAAGATTGCAACAGTGACTTGCAACTTGCAAAACGAAGTTGTACAACTTGCAAAACGAAGTCAGCTCTATGGAGAAAACACCAACCCAACCGTGTCACCACCAGGGCAATGTGAGAGCCTGCAGCCATCCAGGCCATGTTTTGTAGATCAGCAGCCCTCTTTCTGGAGATGGGGGAAGGCCACCAGCACAGACAGTAATCTTTAGGCTGGTCACAGTATATGAATAGTTCACTTCAGGGCATAACCTACTCAGTAAACTGTGGGATGTGTCGCTCTCAGGAGGCAAAGCAAATTGTCTGTGGTTAAACATGTGAAGAATGAAGCAGTCAGCATCCAAAAGCAGCCTTCACAAGAACTATATAAAAAGAAGAAACAATCTTAAAACATATCCTAGGATCTAAAATTTCCACCTCTCAGCCTCCTCCTCCATCAAATCACAACTTCCTTCTCCCCCAGTCTGCAGAGCTTCAGGAAAGAACAGACCTGGAGGCATCGCTCATCACTCGACACAGTATTCTTAGAAGAAAGAAAAAGTGCCCCTTCTGGGTTTGAGAATCGGGACCCACACCAACCACACCTTCAGGTAATGGCTTTTCCCTGGCTCACTCAGTGCTCCACCAACAGCAAACTCCAACATCTGGGCTTCCAAACAAGCTCCCAAAGAAGCCCCAGCCTGTACATATCTCTCTGGGCACATACAAAGGCAAAGAGGGGTCTGAACACACTGAAAAACTGTGTGGAGATAGGAAATAAAATTGAAAAAGTGACAAAGAATCTGCTTGGCAAAAAAACCAGCCCAATGAGTTCTAGTCCCAGATGACATAAAGCCATGAGCCAGCCAACTGTGATTCCAGCACAAGGAAAACCCAAGGGGGACTTGTAGTTATTTGGTAACATGGCACCTCACTCCTTTCCACGTCTTTTGAAACGTGTCTTTTTTAGCCCTAACAAGGACAAGCTTATGAGTGTAGACAAGAGCAGCCCACTAAACTCCCACCAGGAACACACCTATTGCTTCCTTACTCCTCACCTGTAGCTCTGGAACTTCCCTACAATGCAATACACTGGGTAAATGTAACGTCGTCTCCTTCAGGAGTCACTCCACCTTAGTCTTTTACTTCCAGGAAAGTAATTCAGAGGAAATTAGATGCATTTTTGGTATTGAAGGCCATCTTTTTTATCTACCTTCCTGTTAAATCTTGGGAATAAAAAGCAGCTGGAACTACAGAGCCCAAAGATGACTGGGAGGCCAGGCTTGAAGCAATGGATTAGTGCTGATCCATGTCAAACAGAAGCCATTTTGTGGGACATGGGGTAGAATTCCCCCAGGATCCAGGTGTGGATACTGTAGTGCCAGGTGGAACAGGTGGGGATTGCAAAAACATCTTCCTAGGAGTTGTTTTGTCCCATGATGAGACTGTCATCTGATATGATGCTCTGGAACAAAAAGGGAGAGATAGCATCCAAATAACCAGCCCCTTGTAGGTGCCTTATTTTAGGAAGTAATTACCCTCTCTGCCACACACCCCTGGCTCCAGCACACCTCCAAAATGCAAGTGGGAAATCAGAGTGTCCTGTTAGTGCCAGATCCATGCCACAGTGCTGCACCATGGCTGTCAGGGCCAGATGGTTCAGCTTCCTTGTGCTTGATTTCTGCCTCTTAGACATGCAACACACAAGGTAAGAAACTGCATTAATAAATGCTCTGCACATCGTTTAATAAAGACACATTAATATTTTTACTTAGAAACAGAGGAGAAGAAGTTCTTTGATGACTGGACTGAATCACCACCTAATCAGAACAGTGCTCTGAGCTGTGCACCATGGTGTGTGCCCAAAGGCTTGTGAGCACCTTCCTGCAAAGCCACTGAGGCCCAGGCAGCATCTCTTCTCTCTCCTGCTGCAAAGGGCACAGGGATGTCTCCTGAGCTGAGTGAGCACACGTGTGACAGGGCAATTCATACATCAAGGAGAGACTCCATTTCCCCCTCCTCACCTGCCCTTGCCAATACATGGAGTCCCACCTGATTTAGATGCTGAAAAATATGTTTCAAGAAGTCATCATCACTATTGTGAGTCATGAGAGAAGAGGAGGAAATTACTCCGAGAGATGATTCAACTAAAGGGAGAGTTGAGACAGATGAAAACAGACAGGAGAAAGAAAAGAGCTATGGGAGCCCCACTGATTGAAAGGAGCTCAGCAAAATGTGGGAGAAATTTAGAAGATTCAATTTCTCTTCCCCCATCAACTTCCTCGTTTCCAGATTTTGTTGTTAGTACCACCAATCCAAAATGTCAAGAATTTACATGGAGACTGGATGTAAAAGTCTGCTCCATCTGAGAGTGCACTCTGAAGGAGTCCTCTTAAAAGACTGATTTAGGTCAAGGGTTCATTGTTTCTGCTGTAAAGACAGCAGCACGTGCTGTTACCTAACCAGCACTGCCAGAATCACCCCTGTGACAGGTGAGCCCTTCTTAGCACAGCAGAGAGTACTGCCCAAAAACCCAACAAAAAAGAAAGACAGTTGGAAGACAAACAAGGTTATTTGTACCATAGGCACAGTTCAACCCTTGATCTAGCACCAAAAGATGCACAAACTCTCTGCAAGTCTGTGTGACTCAGAGCAAAGGGCAAAGAAAAACAGTGTGAGTTGATGAGCTGAAATTCAAATGTCACAGTGGAACCACTCAGCACAGTCACGCTGTGTAACTCAAGGTTATTACCCTGTGCATCCCATGGGAGCCACATGCTGTCCAGGTGTGGATCAAGTTTGCTACAGCCTTCTGTCACCTGTGTCTTCCTCCAGCATCTACAGGTGCTGCACATCTCTGGAACATTTAATATGATATATGCTCAAGTATGCACACAAACTATACGAGCACAAGGATGCAAGTTCACATTAAGAAGAAAATTGGTCTCCCTGATTTTCACTTCCACAATCCCAAATGCAGTGCTGACAGTTTACACCTCTTTAGTCCCACTTCAGCTCCTTCCATTCAAGCTAAAACACTCGGTGTGAGTCCAAGCAGGATCATTTACTTTGCAGAGTAAGAAATTGGGTAAGCAGCATCCTTCTTCACCAAAGTCCCTACAACCACCATCTTTGTCAAGCACTGTGGACAGCCTCACACCATCTGGACACTCAGGCCAGACTTTGAGCACCTTTGACTGAGGTCCTGCCTTGAGTCTTGAGACTCCCGTAGCCCACATGGGTGGCCTGTGATTCCTGTTGCATACATTCTCCCAGCCACTTCTCACTCACTGTGGAGAGAGGTCACTTCCAAACCCTCACTGCCTTAGTTACACCTCAGTTACTGCAACATCCCTTCTCTCACCACAGCACATTTCCCATCTCTCAGGTTGAAAGGTGACCAGGTCTTTTTGGCTGCAGTACCTCTGTGGACACATCAGCTGTGTTACCTGCTCCAAGCCTTGCCCTTGTCCATCACCCTGCAGACACCTTTTCAGTGACCCTTTCAGTGCATCAAGCTGCATCCCGCTGGCCACGCTGCCAAATGCCCACTGTACAATGTCATGCCAGTTGATGAAATCGTGTTTCAGAGAGGACATCTCAGCTCCTGGAGGGGAAGTATCCATACCCCTCTGCAGTGGAGAAGGCTGTCCCCCTCTCCAGGAAGGCAATTACTTGTCTCTGCCCCAGCAGCAGAGCATGGCCCTGCTGCCACCCCGCCGTAGCCACTGCTGGGTTTTACTGAGCAGCACCATGGATCAGGTCACCTTCCTCCACTACAGAGAAAATGAGTTCATTTTAAGGAGTGTGACAAAAGAGCACAATAGATTGGAAAGGTATGCAGATACCCATGAGGGCAACCCACTCATGCAGTCACAGAGCTCAAGTCCCAGGCACCGGCACAAGCCCTTCAGGCACATCATCTCATAAACAGGAGAGGCTCCACTTGTTCAAAACACTTCCATGAGTGATAGCAGGGACACAGCAGTCCCTCTGCTTCCAGTACACCCCCAGTTAAATGACTGGATCAAATTTGCTGCCAGGCTTTTGCTGTCACTTGTATTCTTGTGGCAGCACCTTCAGGTGTTTGCATGATGGTGGGAGGAGATAAAAAGCAAGGAGGTACCTAGAGGACATCCCCACATGACACATTCTTGCCTCACATGCTCCAGATGAATCTGTCCAACTGCAGGATACAGTTCCCAGAAAAGGCCACACAATCACAGAAATCACTTTGAAGCTGAGATCATACTGCTACACCAGCATCAACTCTCTTGTTTAAGCTGAGCATCTCCATCAAAGGACCAGCACACAGGCCCATCTCCTTACCTTTAAAGCACGGACTTTCTTGGCCAAGAGGCTCTCAATGTCCCCTGCGACCTTCTCCACCAATTTCCTAGGCACATTCTCCTTGACTTCAAAAAGGCTTTTATTGTCATCGTAGATCTAAGAGGGGAAGCAAGAAAAAAAGACAGTCAATATTAGTGAGGAGTACAGCAGTCTTCCTACAGAAAAGCTGATCCTCTAACAGAGAATTCGAGCAATGTGGATTAGGTAACAATATAAGCTTTGGAAATGAGGGGATGAAGAGAAAAAAGGCTTTGCAGCCAAAAAAACCAGAAATGTAGTCAACCTGCTGCCCACACCACTGGCTCTACAGCTGCCTGCTTTCATGCTTGCAGGCAATGGGAATCCCACCCTCTCACTCAGAAGCTGAGCTGCCCATCCCTGCCTCTGCTGAGCCATTCCTGTGGCACAGGCAGAGCCACCATGACTGCTGCTGTGCCCTCCCTCGCCCAAAGGCACCCCAAAGCCCACTGACCACCTCCCCAAAGCCACCTGCTGAGCCTGGCAAGTGCAAGCCCAAGTCCCTGCCTGCAGGGCTTGCTGGGTGCAGGGCCTGGCAGCAGTGGGGCAGCAGGGCAGGCCAGGCTACCAGGAATAAGAACAAGGGGATCACATGAAGGAGGATAAACCCCACATCTCTAACCAAGGCATAATAATTTGGCACCCTCAAGAAATGAGAATTTTTACAACCAGTCCAGAACTTGGCCAGACTGTGGTGGGTAGAGGCACAAATCTATACCAGGATTATCCTGAAGGCCAGTACAGTTATCTGTATTTGAATGTTTGCACCCAAAGTGGCAGCAGTGGCCCACAGGCACATCATACAACTGCAGGGAACAACCCCAGACCCAAGGGAGGTGCTGTTGGCATCAGCACTGCCTCAAGAAGAAGGGATCAGTCCCACCAGAAGACTTCACAACCACGAACCCCTCATTCAGCTCCTCAGATGATTTTGTGACTTGTTAACTCCACCTGCCTGCAACCCAGGTGCAGCCAACACAGGGTCAAAGGGAAGAGTTTATTGCCATCATCTGAAACTAGCAAAAAAAAAAAAAATCCTCAGGCCTTATATTTTCTTAAATAAGGTACATGAAGAAAAACCACAAAGTAAATAGGATTCTGCTTCTCTCTTTATCATCAGGCTACTTGCAGATACCTTCAGCTCCAGACATGGAGACATATGGGAACAGAGAACCCTCCAAGGAGAGCTGGACCTCCCCAAGGAGGTAGCAGACTCCACACTTAACTGCAAATTCCATGCTAAGCATGTCTGGCACCTACCCAAGCTTGCATGATCCCTAGGAGCTGAATCATGCTTCCCACGGGACCAAACCCTCTCTTTGCTGGAGCTTCATCACAAGTGAAAGACTCTGTCTGTAAGTGGTGGTTTGTTGCAGACCTTGCCATGAGGACCAAGGCTGCAGAAGCAATTTCTCATGACACATCTGCCCTGGGTGTCAGAGCAGCACCCAAACACAAACAGTAAAAAAACAGCTTCCACAGCACAAACGTGTACCCAGAACCTCCTCCATTTCACCCAGGACTAAAGAGAGGCTTGGCCAGAGGCACCCACCAGGCTCACACCATCACAGCTCTTTCTCTTGGTGGAGCCAGCAAAAGTAAAGGTACAGGCAGGCAGGTGCTCAGGATCTGGATAGTGGCACATCACACAGCTCAAACACATGATGACACCCTCTAAAATGCTGGGAAATTCCTTACTGCCCTCTATTCTTTCTCCAGACCTTATAACAAACTGGAATGGACAGCAAATCCACTTGCTGAAGACAGCTGACAATGAATTCAAGAGCCAGAGCAGAGACATTCCCCAGCTCCAGCCTCCCTTTTCCTTTCTTGGGTAAACAAAGCAGTTTCTGAGGCTGAAGCCACAGGAGTACAGTGAGACACTAAGCCCAAGGCTGCTCTTTCAGCTGTGCACAGTCCCTCCAAACCTACTGGGTTAATCTCCAGGCTTCCACTTTGCTTTTTGCAGCTCTTGCTGGGGCCCCTGCTCTGCCCAAGCTCCTCCTTTCTTCCATGGCATTAAGAAATTCCTAACAGCAGTCTCTTCCAGCAGCCTTGTGTCCACATATACCATTACTCCACTCTAACTCTACTCCAGCAACTCCTTTTCCCCCCCAGAAAGCCCCAAGGAATTCAGGTTGTCTGCCCTGGCTGCCAGAAGAGTAACCCATCCCACCTCTGTCAGTGGGGCAGCACACAAAAGGCTCAGATCTGGTAGTCCCTGAGGTTTCTGGAGAAAACAGAATTTCTGTGAATTTTCTTCTAACTCTACTCCAGCAACTGCTTTTTTCCCTTCAGAAAGCCACAAGGGATTCAGGTCACCTGCCCTGGCTGCCAGAAGAGTAACTCATCCCACCTCTGTCAGTGGGGCACCACACAAAAGGCTCAGATCTGGTAGTTCCTGAGGTTTCTGGAGAAAACAGAATTTCTGTGAATTTTCGTGGTTACTGACTTGCAAGAGAACAGCCCATGAGCCAAGAGCCAGACATCTGTGATCCTCATCTGACTCCTCAGTCCCTAAGAGACACAGGGAGCATGGCTCCAGTGCCCTCCCCAAGGCTCTGCTCTTGCATGCTCCACACCTGCCATCCTTCAAGGAAAGGCAGCCCTACAACCTGATTTGTCTGAAATGGGCTTCACCCAAATCACTTTGGTCCCAAACCACCCACACTTCACATTAATTTGGCAAGCCCTGCGTGACTCTGTGAGCACAGGGACTCCAAAAAGGATGCTTTAGTAAGAGAAGACATTTAAGAGGCATCCTCAGACTCCAGAAGAAATTATTTCATAGAATAGCTTGGGTTGGAAGGGGCCTTAAATACCATCTCATTCCATCCCCCCATGGGCAGTGACTCCTTCCACTATCCCAGGTTGCTCCAAGCCTTGTCCAACCTGGCCCTGAACATTTCCAGGGATGGGGCAGCCACAGCTTCTCTGGGCACCCTGTGCCAGGGCCTCACTACCCTCACAGTAATTAATTTCTCCCTAATATCCAACCTCAACCTCCCCTCTTTCAGTGTGAAGCCATTCCCTCTTGTCATGTCACACCATCGCCTTGCCCAAAGTCTCTCTCCAGCTTTCTTGGAGCCCCTTCAGGCAGTGGAAGGGGCTCTGAGGTCTGCCCAGAGCTTTCTCTTCTCCAGGCTGAACACACTCAGCTCTCCCAGCCTGTCTTCACAGCAGAGGTGCTCCAGCCCTTTGGTGATCTGCACTGCCCTCCTCTGCTCCTCCTCCACCTGCTTCTTATGTTAAGGCTCCCAGAGCTGGATGCAGGATTCCAGGTGAGGTCTCACCAGAACAGTATAGAGGGCAAGAATCACTTGCCTGCCTTGACCCTTTGATGTGGCTTTTGATGTGGCTCAGGATAGAATTTCTAGATGTTCTTCACATCAGAGCTCCATCACAGTCTGAGCTTCAGATCAAGAAGCTTGTATTGCCAACAGCACAACATCCTGCACTAGATAAGAGCACCCCCACATTGGCACAGAAAGGGTTAAGCAAGGAAAGCTCAACACAAAGCAATATTCTCTCACACTCTTTTTTTCTCCCCTTGGTAAGTAACAGCACAACAAAGTCATGTGCTTGGAAGATGCAGGATACCTCCAGCTGAGCAGCAGCAATTAGGAAAGCAAAGAGGAGCAATCTTCAAGGAGAAAGCTTTGGGTACAGAGGGAGTCCTGACATTAGTATTTTCCTGTTATAAAACAGAATTGTCTCCTGTTGGTTACGGACAGAAACGGTACCTGTCCACCAGGGAGGAAAGAACAGAAAAAGAACCCAGGAGCTGTTCCTCCAGCCCTCTCTGCCGCTGCAGAGCTCTGCAGTCTTCGTGGCTGAACAGTTCACCGGCATTAATTAGAACAATCCAAGACAAATTAACAGTGACCATACGTGCATGAGAACGTCCCAGACAGGCAGGGGAATGAATGGTGGGGGCTCCAGGGCTTCAGGCAATTCAGAGAACTTCACAGCCTCCACTGTAGCATTTTGCTCTGGGCTGTTCAGAACGTGGCCAGGTTTTACTTGTCTAAGGTGACATTTCCCATATTGGGTTTTTCCTTCAGCTGAATCAAAGGGAGGATTTTCTGGCCAAAGACATCCCGAACATTCCTCAACGATGGCAAAAACCTTTAGTTTTGTCAAGATTAGAAAGCAATTCTCATTGAAATTCTCCTGTGATCCAGTGCTCTGGGACCTGTTTTTGAAATTAGTAACACCGGTGACCTCGGAGTCAAGGAGCTGCTGCTTGTGAGTCCACGTTTGTACCCTCACACCCGGCTGTGCCGCACCCTCGGGGAGAAGGGCTGCACGTTCTCTGCTCTTGGCAGACTCGGTTTTACTTGGCAATGCCTTGAGCAACGAGCCCCATCCCCTCACAGCCCCCCTGCCAGGCAGGGCAGGTGGGTGGCAATGCAGGGAGACGAGCAAAGCCAAATGCTGCACTGCTCCAACCACGTTGAAACAAGAAGTAACACCTGTGTGTTAGTCCTGCTCAGTGTGGGTGGCAAACCTGAGATTACTGAGCAGGAGAAGGGCTATAGAGAGTCCCTGAATTACCTACAGAGGGAGCAGCCCTCAGGCAGCACAGAGGAGGAAGCTGCTGTTCTCAGAGAATGGGGATTGAGACCACATTATGAACTGCAATCTCAATAAAAAGTCTGGGAAGGGCTGAAGCTGGATGCAGTAGCAGAAGATCCAATCCTGGCAGTGGAAAGGAGTCCAGCAGTGGATGCTGAGAGTGAACTAATAAGTGGCAAGAGCAGGGAGAAGTGGGAGGGAATATTAACAGCAGCCAAACAATAGAAAATACTGAGCTGAAACAAAAAAATAAAAGCAAAGAAAAGAAACAAAGTAGTGGCAGGTAGGGGGAAGAAAAATCCAACTGTTCAAGACAACCTGCAAGATGAAAAATTTAATCCTAAATACTCCTAAGCATAGTGCAATTACAAACAGCCACAAAAATGATTTAAACCAGCCCAGAAGTGCTAAGTGGCCTCACTTAAGAGCAAAGCTGGTAACACAACCAACTTGTCAGCACATGTTCCCAGCAACACCTGTACAGCCAAGGAGGCAGATCT